ATACTAAAAAAAAAAATTACTGAAAAAAAATAATCAATAATTTATAATCATTGTAGGTGAGGTTCACATCTTAATAATTTCAAATTTACACCACATACTTTTGAAATAAAATTAAGATTAAATTTTCATAATGCATAGGATTTTTTGTGCAGAATCTAAGGTTGAACATATGTACTTGTTTACGGTTAATAATAGGGATATACACAGATTGATTGGTCAATTTTAAAGTAAATCTGGGGTTGAACCGTTTCTTACAGTTCTAAAATCAAGGTCTGGCTTTGCTCCAATCCACTATCAGATTGGATTATGTTGTTAGGTTCGTGGGGCCCATCACGAGTTCTGTTTTGAAAATCTGAACCGTTAAATGTGTAGAACTCTTCGAGTATTATATGTCTGTAAAAAATTACGTTGATCGGATATCGATAGTTATGTGATCAAATCATTTTTTTGTCAACCGTTAATTTATTCACTGTCTATTTTTTTATACAAAACTAATTTGATCACATAGATATCGATATCCGATAAACGTGATTTTTTACAGATATATAGTACTTGAAGAATTCTACACATTAAACAGTTCAGATTTTCAAAATGGGACCCGTGGTGGCCCCCACGGGTCCAACAGCACGGTCCAATCCGATAGTAGACTGGACCAAAGACAGACCCTTAAAAAAATTAGAACGGTAATCGAACTGTCAACTTGTGAAATCAGTCCAAAACTAAATTATAGAAACTAGTTTAGTTCGGTTCAGTTTACGATTCTATGAATTTTATATAACAATAAATATAATATGTATTTTATGCTAGTAAACAAATTAATAATAATTAATTGGGTAAATTACAAATACACTCCTGAGGTTTACTTAAAATACAAATTACCTTATGTGGTTTTAAAAATTATAAATATTTTCTTGTCAGAATCTTTTATTTAACAGAATTAACTAAAAAAAATAAAATTCATAATTGCTCTCTATTACAATAATAAAATTATCTAAATTATTAATTGAAACATATTTCTAATATCATTAAAAATTGTTAATTGACTTCATGATTTGTTAATAAAAATGACAATTTGTTACGAAATTAGAAACCTCAAGAGCTGGAATGTAATTTATAAATACACCCTTTAAGGTTTGATTAAAATATGAATCACCCCCTGTGTTTTTAAGAATTACATTCTAGCCCTTGAAATTTCTAATTTCATAACAAAACGTCATTTTATTAATAAATCATCAAATTAATTAACAGTTTTTAATGATGTTAGAAATATGTTTTAATTAATAATTTAGGCAATTTTATTATTATATAGAAGACCAATTATGAATTTCATTTTTTTAAGTTAATTTTGTTAAATAAAAATACTAACAATGAGATATTTGAAATTTTCAAACCACAAGAAACAATATGTATTTTAAGTAAATCTCAAGAGTATATTTGTAATTTACCTTTTATATTTTAATTTTTATATAAAAATATAAAAAACAATAAACAAATGTCATGGTCTGGTCTAGTTCGAAATCGTGACCAAAGCTTTAGAACCAAGAACCGGATTGATTTAAACAGTTTTACTATTTTCAAAACCAGAGCCATAATCACAACTGAAAAAATCAGACCAAACTAACGATTAAATCGATTTACTAATTCCACTGATTTTTTTTTGAATACCCCTGGTTAACAAGTAAAACTATGAGGCTATTCGGGGACATCATAAAGATGTTAAATTATTTGTTCTTAGTTTAAAAAAAGTTAACATGTACGTGATTGGTTGTAAAAAATAAAATAAAATAATATTTAAATATTTAATAGTGCTTGTACATGTATTTTTAGTAAAATTGTTAATAAAAATTTAAGTGGATTGTATAGAATTTTCCACTCTTTTCTACCATAAATAAATGAAAGTTGGTAACCCGAACCATTATCCATGTATCCAATCAACTTTTTTTTCCCATTTCTTGGAATGGAAACCAAACAAGGGAAAGGAACTTGCTCATCTACTTTTCTTTATCTTCTCTCTTTTCTCTTCCATGTTCAGACTTTACTTTATTTTCTCTCTGTTTTCTGTTTCATGTTCACAAGTATGGGGAGAGATTTCTCATTTTGCTCTTCTTTTTTCCTTCTTGAAGATCTGCATATTTTCTTCTAGTTATATGAATTTCCTATGCATGTTCTTCAAATGTACAAGGTATTTATTTGACTCCTACAAGTTTGTAATTTCTAGATATTATTTTATATACTAATGTACAATGTATTTACAGAGATGGGCTTCTTTTTTGCAGATTTTTTTTGTATTTTCTGATGCTATGCATGCAGAGACCACCTTAAAGAGTAAGATTTTGATCTAAAAATAGAGGTAAGCTTGCATTGTTTCGAAACCTCGTGTACTGAATCGTCTTCCTTTTTTTATTTTTTATTTTTTTTTATGTGATTGAAACCATAACAATTAGACATATTGACGCAGGTGAATTCGTAATCTTCTGAAAATTGTAAGTTGCGTTAGGTTTGATAGAGCTTTCTAACTATGATTTGAGAGTAGAAATTATATTTTGCGTTTGTGAGTTTTAGAATTATGATTTGAGTGTGAAAAATTTATTTGGTGAAAGAGTTTTGAAAAGAGTTTTGAATTAAATGAGAAATTTTTGATATGATATATGATATTTGATACAAAAACTTACAACTTATAACCAAACATACAACTCAAAATTCTATTAAAACACATAAAAAAAATTTAAAAATTTAGAAAATATTTTTTTTGAATATATAAAAATTAATATATGTCAATTGCAAAAATAAATAAATAAATAAATAAATTTGTACTGTTCTGGTCGGCCAGACGCCAGTGGGACGACCGCTTAGTCCAAATTTTTCGCTTTCGACCGCATTTTCAAAAGTGAGCGTGAAATTAAATTTTGAAATTTATAAACAAACGCCATGTTCAAATTAAACTCTGGAACGTTAGTTTTAGAGCTATACCAAACACAGCCTTAATTTTTTTAGTAATTTGTTTTTTTTTTTAATATATATATATTTTTTATTGTTTTCTAGAAACTTTGTAGATCAAAGTTTCAATATTCATTTGGATAGATGTGAATTTGAAATGTATGAATTTTGACATTAATCATTAAAAGAGATTACATAAATTTAGATTTGATAATTTACTTGTTAATTTTATGATTGAATTAAATAGTTTTATCATGATGATTTGAAATGATTATATAAAAATAATTATTTGAAATCATATTAATGATTATCTTCTAGCTTCAAAGTTCTTACTAAAATCCATCTCTTCTATCTCAACTTATATTCTTTCTATAATTCTTCTATTTACCTATAATAATTAACTCTTCAATATTTTTAATTTGAAAACTATTGATTTGCAATCCATATTCCTCCAAACAGAATATTTAAGTACACAGCGATCCACAATTAGAATAAGAGACCCCATCATATCACTTTATATCCTGTTATGCTGATTTTTTAAACTCTCCCTTTGACTGTTTTTTTATTTTGTTTGCATCTATTCCTTTTGGCTAAAATCATCTCTAATGGTTCATCAAATTCATCATCAAATTTAAATTACTTTTTTCTTTTCCAACGATTCATCAAATTTAGAATTTCACTTTTCTTTCATCAAACTAAAGATCAATATACATTTTATCAAATCACTGTTAATTGTCGTTGAATTTTCATTGCCAAATGCCCCTCGGATGACCACCTCAAGATAAAATTTTGTGAAAAAATTACACTGACTAGTCAACCGGTGATTTGATGAAGCTATAAAACCCTCCGTTAGAACACTTGATATCAAATAGAACTTTTATTCAAATTTAGTGAAACTTTATTTTATTCAAATTTAGTGAAACCCTAAGAAAGTGTATTCACATCTATATCAACAGCTATTGAATAATTTTTAGATTTTTTTATAAATATTTAATATTTTAATACATTTCAATTAGGTAGTATGTCTAAAAAATAAAAAAATAAGATTTTTTTATAAATATTTAATATTTTAATACATTTCAATTAGGTAGTATGTCTAAAAAATAAAAAAATAAAAAAAATTATTATAATGCGAAAATAAATTTAGTAAAGACGACAAACATGAAAATTAAAAATTTTAAAAAATATTTTTTGAAACAATTAGAACAAAAGAGACCCATCATATCACTTTATATCGTTGATTTTTTTAAGAAAAATGATTTAGACCTCTAAAAAGAGAGCTCTAATTGAGCATTAATTTGTCTTTTTCTTCCCCACATTGTCTTCTACCTCACTTTTTTTTCTTTTTTTTTTTTTAAATATGTGGCCAACTCGTTAGAAATGCATTGTAGCAGCTCTAATTAGAACTCTGCAGCATTGCCCTTTTTTTAAACTCTCCCTTTGACTGTTTTTTATTTTGTTTGGCATCTTTTCTTTTTGCCTAAAGTGTATTCACATATCTTTAGGCTATACAAACAGCTAATGAATTCTTTTTAGATTTTTTTATAAATATTTTATTTTTTAATACGTTTAGATAGGTAGTATGTCTAAAAAATAAAATAAAATAAAAAATTTCACTAAAATATTAAAATAAGTTTAGTAGAAGCCGGCAAACACGAAAATTATAAAACTCAAAAATTATTTTTTAAAAATTGCAAACGAAACAAAATATTATGATTACAAGAAGGAAATCCCTTCGAGTTGTGCGCCTTATACCTTTATTATGCATTTTTATATGATAAATATTATGTATTTTTTTTTAGTAGAATTGCAATAATTTGTGATTTAAAAATTAAGTTACCAATTTTATGAAAATATTACACATTTTTGTAGTAGTCTTAAACATTTTTTATCTAAATAATTTTTAACCACAAAATCCGTAACATTACTAAAAAATACACATCTTCATTTCTAAATCACAAATTGTCACAACTCCACTAAAAAAGTAGATAACATTTGTCACGAAATACGTCAAATAATAGACAATGAGGTTTAACTATGCAGATGCAAACAAGAATGAGACATGACATAAATAAGCAGAGCACTCTTTTATGTTGAGAGTATGATAGTTTAGAGCCAAATTGATCTCAACCAGGAGACATTCACCAAATGTTACATACATAAATTATACAGAGAAAAGAACAAACAAATTATACAAACACTTTATGGCAAGGCAACAGGCACAAGGAGTTAGAACTGAAGAAATCTGCAAACTACAGTTGATAACTAGTTCTCTCCGGTTAAGTGACACACAAAAAACATTTATTGAATAAAACTATATCTAAAATTTCACACACAAACCAAGTTTGGAATTTTACATCAGTAGTCGTGTACATCATCTGTGGTACTCATGTTGTCAGAACATCGGGAATAGTGGGTGAATAAGATCCGACTACTTTACCTCCAATATCTGGGAAACTCTCGTATCCTGGCAAGGGACCCACCTTGCCGTCAATGTCTACCTGTATGGGATACTTGAGAAGATGGCCTTGCAATAATGTAAAATTCTCAGTTGTGTATCTCTTCCAGTTATCTTCAGCCACCCGATTCACCTTCTTCACACATTCCAAGCTCTCTGGCTCCTCAGAGTATTTGTCCAATATCCCAAGGTGCTCGGACCACAGTGACATTCTGTATCCATAAATCTGCACTCGCATTTGTCAGGTCAAATACATTACCAACTGAACTCCTACGAACTGAATTCAAATAAGAACATTCGAGTGATTACTTGATTCTTATAATCACGTTAGTGGAAATTACTCCTTTTACTCTTAAAACATGTGATGTCAAACCCTAAAATGTCAAAGGTTCACTGAAACAAAGAAGATATGCCAGACATAAACAAGTAATCAAACCTGGCCATGAGGGTGTCGCTTCTTGTCAGCCCAAGTGTGATGAGGTTGATAAGCGCCCATGGCTGTCTCAGTGTCTTTTGTACCAGCCAAAGATCTTTGGTTAATGTTGGCAGATCCTATTATTGTGTACTCGTCGTCCACTATCATTCCTTTAGCATGCACATAAATCATAAACCGCTGAAATTTCTCTGAATCTGAGATCTGATAAAATATTTAAGTTAACACCGACTCCTCACAAATTTCTACCATGTTGAAATCCAAAGCCATTTTGGGTAAATAAACTCTTCTGATCATTGAAGCAGTGTCAAGTTTTTATTTTTTCATAGCCAATTACATTTACAATTTTGACTTCTTATGTTTTTGTGTGAAGTGCAAACGTGTAGTGTGTGTCGCCCTTCTAGTGACTACTAAAGTGCAACAAATAATGTTAGTACTCTGATCAATGTTAAGAACACAAACAACACATGTGAAGTAAAAAAGAAAAAATATCCAATATATCATAAAACTTCATTGTGAATTGAAGAATGCGATTATGAAAGTTAAAGCTAAAGAATATGCTTTAGATTCTCGAGAAATAAAGGTTTCTATAAGAAGAAAAGTCTTATATTTTGCAACTAAGAATAACATGTGCAGCTAAAAATAACATTATTTGTGTATGTATATATATTAAGAATAACTTCATCCAACATGGGGTGTGAACCTTTTAGGTGAGTAGTAGTCCTCCACCTCCCTGAAGGTTAAACTAGTCCTTTTGGATTCGGGTGGGGGCGACTGCACCCCAAAAAATTTGGAAAAACCCTCATATTATACTAGTAATTAGTAAGAGAGTCCCAAAATTATAGAGGTTCGCACATCCAAAATTGTAGGACTTGAACATTGTTTGGTAATTACCTTACTGCCATTAGCCTGATTATCTTCTCTTACCCTCTCCTCAGGCATTTCTTCTCGATTGCCAAGGCAATAGAAATTTAAGTAGTCTAGAGGATGAGAGTCAGAAAGTTGCATGGATTGAAGTTCCCGTGCAACAATTCCATACATCATTTGCATCGTCTGGTTCTGCAAGAAGCAAGTTCTGTGAAATAAAGAACATGAACTTTGCATCTTATTATAATTTCTGATAGAATTCGTCAGAAATTTCATCATGTCTTACAGCTGGAAATTACTGAAGTAAAAGAAATCAACGGTATTGGAATGATAACCAATTCTATGGTCATCAAGAACTTCAGGTCAAACAAATTCCCAATCGCATAACATTAACAAATTATGTCACAAAGACAAATACTGTTTGCAAGATGCAAACAAGTCTTAGGAAAGAACACATATTCCTATCCTCTAATATATTTCCAGCAGTACAAAAATGTTTCCATAATAGAAAGTTTCTGATTTATATAGTCTCCATGATACAGAAAGCCAGGTTACCTGCCAAAATAGAATTTCCTGCATAGGACCAGAATTTGGATCACCCTCGGGCCACATTGGTATGACAACATAAACTGCAAATCTCTCCTTAGCCCTAATTTTACTTGCAATTTTTAATGCCAACTCCATGGGGACTAGATTATCAGCGCCTGATCATACCACAAAAGCAATTATCTTCAGAAAAATTTCAAGCAAACAAATATAGAATTACAAGAATTGGTTACTGATTAACAGTTGGGTCAAACACACAGCCAATAATACCAAATGCACAAGAAAAAGTCGAACAGAGAGAAGCTGAACAAAGATGTAAATTGAATGAGCTTGTGGTATAATGCTAGACAATATGCACTCAAAAAAAAAGTAATAGGACATTGTTGGTCTCTTGATGTAGTGACAGATAGATTGAATCAAATTGAAAATTTTAGAAGCTAGTTCTCATATATAAATTCTTCAACTCATACTTCATATTTATAAAAAATCACTTCATATCCAGATAAATAATCTTTCACTTGAGTGGTGGACATTAACTGAGTATTGCTAATCTGAAAGTGTAAACAGAGAATCTGATTTAACCTGCATCTTTGTATGATGGCCACGCATATGATGATCCAATAAAATACTGATTTTCAATGTATATAAAGTGTTGAGCTGATCTGATTGCCTGAATGTATGCTGTTTGAATACTTTGATCTATCACCAGATTTTTCGAACAGATGAGGTTCTGCAGTAAAGCATATATCATAAAAAAATAGCAAACTTTAGTATGATGAAGTACTAATGGAGACAGAGTAATACGTCAACTAGAACTATTAATAGTCATGACTTGGAAGCATTTCCAACTTTTGTAAGCATATACTGTGCATTCCACATGTTTAGATATACGCAAAGACACATAAATATCAATACATAAAACAATAAAACACAATGAAATGAAGAATAATGAACAGGAAGCATCTAAATCTTTAATCAACCTGGGCTTCAGCAACATCAACAGTTTTGGGAAATCCCTTCACTGATCCAGAATCAATGGACCGGAAAATCTGGAGAAGAAAAACCATTAGTGTTTTGACAATATAACAAATTTAAGGGGTAAAAATGTAACAGACAACCTGAACGTGCCAGTTTTCAGGATCATCTTCCTTGGAAACCAATAAAAAGGGATCATCTTCCGGAATAGATGTGTAAGTATCTTTTGTTTCATAATGGGCAGGGCTAAGAATCCATGAAATGCGATCTATCTTTATCAAAGAATCATCATGAGAATGAGATATCCTTTTGAAACGTAGTCCCAACTCAGTCCACTTTGTTGCTTTCTTCCAGCGCTGCTCGAAGTTTATAAGAACATCATATGCAGCAGGTCCATCAATTCTGCAGTGTAAGTCATGCCAAGGCTGCCTTGGAGCCTTGGTTCCTGGCTAAAAACGGCAATGAATAGAAAAATAAAAGACAGGTCAACAGTTGTTTCAAATTGCATAAGATAAACATCTGAAGATCTTAAACAAATGAAGTAAAGAGATTTTATTTTTTTCCACTTATAATTTGACAGAGAGAACTTGCTTATTCATCATTGGCAGCATAGAGCACTCAATATTATTTTCATTCCTAACAGAAAATTGACAATTGCGAAAGATTGAAAGCTACTTTTGAAGATCTTGCTGGCCATAAAAAATTGTAAGCAGATTATACGTAACATGATTTAACTATTTGACTAGAGGATTTGCAAAATCTGTAACATAATCAGATTCTTAAGTGAAGGAAATTTTCAAAATGGAAACTCAAAAAAATATATGAAACTGTTAACAAGAAGAATTGTTGGAACTTTGATGTGCTCTCTCTCTCTCTCTCATTTTCATTTTTTTCTTTTTCTTTTTTTTCCTTTTAGTCTGTTTTGGGTTTATACCAACTAAACCTAAAAAAATATCAGAACAAATAAACCACCATAGAGAAATATACACTAGCCCCAGCCTACGCTTCAGGTACCGAGAACACCGAGTACAGAAAATGTTGAGAGCACCTAATTCGTACATATATAGATATGCAAACATACACAAGTATATCCAGAGCGTATTCCACAATCTGAAAATTTAAAAATCAAATGAACAAACCACTCACAGGAAATGTAGGGTTATGATAATCATCGGGAAATACAGTATTAAGATCACGAAATAATCGATGTTCAGGTGTATCATAGCGACCATCACAGAGATCAAGACCACCCAAAAATGCTGTAATCTTTCGATTATTACCAGATGCCTGTGTATCTACAAGTACACATTTCTGATGGTGTGTAAAGAGTGTTCCAACAACCTGGTTAGAACCATCATAAAAACAACTTCAGCAGTTTGTTTGGTCAAAAGAACGCTCATATATTAAATTAAAAAACGTGGAAAATTTATGGATGAATTGACAAACAATTATTAATGAATGAAAAAAGGCATGCACACAATATTTCTTGTTGATCATTCTGAAAACAAGAAATAACTCCAAAACAGCTTCAGTGATACTATAGCTAGTATTCCACAGACAAACACAAACTTAATTTGCAGTGCAACATTATATGCATGAGCGTATCACTGTCCCTAGTTTATGCTTGTCCCATGACAAGTCACCATTACCATTTGACAACTACGGCAAGTAAAGGGTTATACCACATGAAGTGACACTGAACTGAAAACATCGTATGTTGAGTAGGGGTTGGAAATTTCCAACATGACATGAACTAAATACAAAGTTACAGGTTAAGGTTAACTATTTTCTGAAATGAAGCTGAGGCCTCATTTGGCGAGTGCCTCTTTTAGTCAAAAAGTCCAAAAGTTATTAAAAAAATCAAAAAGCCAACAATTCATACCAAAAAGTCAAAGATTCCTTTTTTTCTCTACTTTTTGCACATCTTTTTGTAAAAAGCCAAAAAATTATCCCAAACATGCTAATTTTTTTTACATCACATTTTAGCCAAAAAATTACTAAAAAAGCATGTTCCCAAACGAGGCCTGATAATAGGAAAATAAATAGGTCAAGTTAGTGTCAAACTCGCATAACATGAATTTGATGAGGCTAACCAGTTTAATATAATTGTTATATAAAAACCAATTTGTTAAAATTGATGTATTATTGATTGATATATGATTGATGTTTATTACAAATGGTGAGTGGCTCATTATATAGGAGAGGGTGAGTGTAGTAGGTGAGGAGTAGGTGAGGAGTAGGTGGTGGTAGGTGATGGTAAATTGGTGGTAGGTGATGGTAAATTCTAACAGCCCCCGCAAACTCAAGGAGGATAGAAACTAACCAACTTGAGTTTGAAGAGAGGAACAAAACAAGAAAATACATAAAAATAAAAAAGGATATGAGACACTGTATGGTCGTGTCAGACCATTGTAGAAGACACGGTATGGGTGTGTATATAGGCTGCCCAAAAAATATACATGGATGTAGAAGACAGTTTACGGGGTCATGTCGGACCGTTGTAGCAGACACTGTGTGGTCGTGTCAGACCGATGTAGAAGACAGTTTATGGGGTCATGTCGGACCGATGTAGAAGACAGTTTACGGGGTTATGTTGGACCCTTGTAGAAACTAACCAGAATCAATGTCGGGACAGTTTACAGAGTCTTGTCGGACCCTTGTAGAAACTAACCGGAATCTATGTCGGGACAGTTTACAGAGTCTTGTTGGACCCATAAAAAGTCGCACCCTCAAAAGGTGTGCCCAATCTGTCAAAAGGCGTGCCATCAAAAGGCGTGCCTAATCCATAAAAAGGCGTGCCATCAAAAGACGTGCCCAATCCATAAAAAAACGTGCCATCAAAAGGCGCGCCAGACACGCGGCGATGCACGTGATCGACAGTGCGCGTGCCGGCCTCTTCGTCATGTGCTATATAAATGAAGGCGGAGGCTGAGAGAACATGTGGAAATCAAACCAGTCTGAAACCTCTGAAAAACTCTTCGTGGGCTGAGAGAGATACACTGGTAACACTCTGTAAACACTCTGTAACCAACCCATCTCTGAAACACTCAGCAACCATAACATGGCATCTTCTTCCCGTCCAGCTACCCAGAACATGGCCTCGAATTTCTCTGTTTGTGCTTGAAATGAGATGACTGTCAATTCTAATGCTAAGATCGTGTGCAGAAAACAATGAAGCAGATCCTGAGGATATACCTGAAGAAGAGGCTGTTTGTAGAATTTGTTTGGTCGAGTTATGTGAAGGTGGTGAGACCCTCAAGATGGAGTGCAGTTGTAAAGGCGAACTTGCATTGGCTCACCAAGAATGTGCTGTGAAATGGTGTAGCATCAAAGGTAACAAGATCTGTGATGTGTGCAGGCAAGAGGTTCAAAACTTACCAGTCACACTTTTACGGATTCGAAGTGTTCGAAATCCAAGTACTGGAGTAAATAGAACCCCGCAGATGGAAATTAATGGATACAGGGTTTGGCAGGAAGTGCCTGTTCTCGTCATTGTCAGCATGCTTGCCTACTTTTGTTTTCTTGAGCAGCTTCTGGTTGGAAAAAAAAATGGGTACCAGCGCGGTTGCCATATCTCTTCCATTTTCTTGTGTATTGGGTGTCCTTGCATCCTTGAACTCATTAACAAAGGGCAGGCAAACATGCTGTGTGCATGGAAGAAATCGATGGCGCAAGTGGCGAAGCCGGACTTGGCGAAGAGGACGGAGGTGAGCTGAATGAGCCAGCTCGATTCGCCGGTGAAGCCGTGGACGACGGCGACTATTCCGATGATTCAGTTATGGGATTTGTGGCAGCGGATGAAAGGTATGTGTAGAGGTCCGGCGGGCGGCCAAGGCGAGACTGCCGCCCGCCGGTGAAGCAGAATGACTAAGTTGTTAACCTTGCTCTGATACCATGTTAAAATTGATGTATTATTGATTGATATATGATTGATGTTTATTACAAATGGTGAGTGGCTCATTATATAGGAGAGGGTGAGTGTAGTAGGTATATAGGAGAGGGTGAGTGTAGTAGGTGAGGAGTAGGTGAGGAGTAGGTGGTGGTAGGTGATGGTAAATTCTAACACAATTTTACTTTATGCAATAATATTATGCTCTGTCAATATATATGCTGAAATGCACATACTGTTCACCAATTCATTAATTTTAAAAGTTCTTTTTAATATGATTTTTTTTCCTAGCTCAAGCAAAACCTTTGATTGAACCCTTCACCATCTGTTGAACAGGGCAAACATGTGTTAATTGTTTTTCCGAGTCATCTTTGGGTTGACACATTTGTTGAGGGCATTCTGACACAAATTTGCTATGACACGACCTGACTCGACACAAATCCCACCCCTAATGCAGAGAAAGATAGAGAGAGAATAAATTTCCCACTAAAAGGATTGATATTAAACCTCCCTTGACAAGGAGGATGGACATATAATAACTATACAACTTAATCATTACCTGACTGAAGTACGACTTAGACCGCAGCAGTGAATACATTTAGTGGGGAAAGAGACCAAATATATAGAAGATGAACAATGTTTTTATAATGAAGCAACATAATGGATAAAGGAATAAAGCATGCCTGTTGTTTGAGGAAGCTAAGCTTACTGCTAGCATAACGAGGTGACAACACACACATTACAGATGAATGCCTGAAAAATTTCTTGGTCTCCTCATCATGCGTTTGCATTAATCCCCCCTGCATTATACGGTTACTTTCTCAACAACTTCAACCATAATTCAGTAAATAAATGGCAAACAAAGAGAATTGAGTTGTGTACATAAGGAAACAACTATGATACTTACAATTACTCAAAATGAAATTTGAAGCTTTGAACTAATTAAAAGAATTCTCAGTGTTTTACCAATGGTATTTCAAGATTAAATTAAAAATTCTCAGCTGTCTTAGAAATTTTGTTATCAAGGAAAATATATTAAAAGTAAAAAGGGGGAAGATTTTGAAACCTTCCAAATTGGTTTTACAGAAAAAATTCCAACATGATGTCCAATTTTACATGTTCACCAGAATAAATAAAAATAAAACCTATGATTACACATTAGGCATAATTATATTGAAACAAAATGGAGATATTAAAACCCTTGTTAACTATAATTCCTTGTTATTCTGAATCAAATGACTCATTCATGTATTTTTTAATGCAAACACAATGTGTAAAAATGTTTACCGAGCCAAGAGAATATGATTTACATAAAGTACAGTGACACAACTGTTCAAATGAACATTGTTACTAACTTATACTTCATCAAACTACTTGTACCATCTGCATATCCTACTCCAAGCTCACTCAATGATTAAAAAACATTCTCTTTTTCTTATATCTTGTGTTTCAACTACAAATAGGCAATCATTATCAAGGCTTTCAAATTTCTTCAATAGATTACTATATATTGATCTACTAATGATTTCATCTGATCCATAACAATATCAATTAGCCGGATCCAGATCCTCCTCTCCATTACATTAATGGAATGGAGATGTCCATTTAGAAATAACCTCATCAACATATCATTATTTCAAAAACACTTAAAAGGAAAATTTTAAAATTCAAATTGACATAGAAACATTGATTTTAGTTTTTAATGATGTCATCCAAACTTAAGCATTAGAATGGATATATCTCAATTCTTATTTTGAATATCCCAATTGTGAGAATTGGTATCATATTGCATGCAAAGTTTAACACTGTGCACTTTCATAACAAGCAGAAAATGCTTTCAAATTACTCTTGAACAGAACACCCAGAATACAACCCTTGTAAAATGTTTTTTTTTTAATTTTTAATTTTTTAATTTTTAAAATTTTTAAGAATGTAAGCTAAACAATTCTAGAAATTACATTTTTAAACAAATGTGAAAAATGGCGTTTGAAGAATCATAATGGAAACCATAACATGAAGATTACCACAAAAACTTAAATGTTAAGCAAGCAAAATAGCACAATTAAGTGGATAGTCCAACAAGTACACAAAATTGAATGGAAAAACAGAGTAAAGTATGAATTAAAGAAAGGATTCTGACCGTCTTAATGAAGAATTTATCATGTGAAGTCTTATCATCCCAAATCAACAACAAAACTCTCACCCCTTCTTGGGATTTATACTTGAGCAATTCACCCAAATTCAGATCCCCACCTCTCGGCAACGGCCTAGTAGGCTCTCTTATCAACATCACCTTATGATAAATCGACCAACCAACAATGTATATCATATGGTGAGCCTCTGATATAGCATGACACATATCTTCCCAACACTTTCCATGTTCAAAAACCATCCCATCATCCAATTCAATCTCAGGAAGTTTAGAATTCTTGCTAACATGAGCATCTTGATACAATTTCACAGAACTACCTTTTCTCAACGGAAAGTAAGTGTGTCTCACACCCTTATGCTTCGGATCAGCCGCAATACCGTGCCGGTACAGCCGATTTCTATCACAGGGTGTGAATTTCATTTCTAGGTAGAGTTCCGTATTGGGTTTCGGCGAACCGGTCACCGGAAAACACCCGCTGATGAATTCGCCGGTAAGTACTCTCTCGGCCGGAATCAGAACTTTTCCGATCAGCTGAGCTCCGAACAAGTCATTGTCCTTAAGTTGGAACTCCAAATTCAGCGTGGGGTGAGCTAAGGGGATGTTGAAGCGCTCGTTCCAATTAGGGTTCTGAGTGTTGGGGATTACACGAGTTCGAGCCAGTGTGGCTTGGGGGACACATACCTTCACGTAAGGGTCGCTGGTGATGATCTTCGAGTGGTGCTCTATTCTCTTATCGTCTGAACCCTTCTCTTTGCCGCCGCCGGGATTGGCGGTGCAGGAATCGCAGAGAGTTAAGGAGCGGCGGAAGTGCTCGGAAAATAAGTCCATGTTGGGTAGGTTGCAAGCTTTGACAATCTTCAAGTTCAAGTCGCCATGTAAGTATATTACTTGCTCTGAAACTCCCATTTCCGCCATTGAAACTAAGTTAATCGATCAATCAAAGTGATTCTGAACAGTTAACACTGTCTCCCTCTGGGTATGTGTGTGTGTGTGTGTGTGTATACATAGAGAGAAGCAAAACAGGGTGGAGAAGAAAGGAACAGAAATTGGGGAGTTTTTTAATAGTAAATTTGGAACAGAACCGAAGATTTCTTGCCACAGAGAGCTTGCCTTGCGGCAGAGATGGAAGAAATTGATTGTTTAAACTTGTATCTAAAGTGTAAAGTGATATGCAGTATATATTTGATTGGTGGGCGGTGGAAGAGGAGGAGGGGAGGGAATCGAGGGTGGTGAACTGGCGGCTCGCGACGGAGGAGTGGAGGAGTTAGGTGGGGTGGGGGGTGAGTTGCAAGAATAATGGATATGTGGATTGCAAGAATAGGTGCAGTGGTGGAAAGAGGCAGGTGGCTGGTCCTGAGAGAGCAAGGATCCTCTCCTTTGGATCCTCTCCTTACTTTTTATTTGGTGGGTTATTGGGTTTACTTTTAGATTCAATTTTGATAATTCGAATTATTCACATTTTAAGATTTGTCGAAAATATTGTACTTGTAAAAATCAAGTCGATCGGATATCAGAAATCACATGTTAAAATAACTATTTATTAAATTTTTTTTGATAAATAATTTGTAGTTCGATAATCTAAACACATGATTTTTGATATTTGATTAATTTAATATTTTACAGATATGATATACGCAATAAATCTTAAACATGAACGTACCAGATCACCAAAATTAGACAAAAATGAGCCTAATGGCCCACCAAGTAAGGAGGCAAGCAAAAAAATCCAAGGAGAGGATCCTTGCTGCTGGTCTTGGGAGGTCGGCCTGGGCCTGTCGTGAGATCCACGTACCTTTTTTTTTTTATTCAAATGAGATCCACATACTTGATCTGGAATAGATGTCATTATAAATATGTTTTTTTTTTTAACGACTATGACAAATATGTTTGGAACTTGGTTAAAATAGGAATAAAAAATAAAGAGGTATTTTGAAAAATGGTTAAATTTTTATTTTTATTTTTTTAAATTTTTTTTTTGTGAGAGAGAAGAATGGGTTAAAAGTGAAGAAGTGGCTTTTAACTCATTTCTTAAAATAAGCCAAATAAATTCAAATGGTTTATAAAATAAAATAAAATATTTAAATTATAATTATTTTTTTTATAATCATCAAATTAATTATCATTTCAAATAAAGAATTTTTATTCAAATTAAAATAATTAAAAAGTTAAAAAATCAAATTTACAAACCAGCTCATAAATGGGGCACTTTGGTTATATAAAATTTTGAAATTTTTAAAATAATAAGCGGTTTGACATGTTAAAAAATGCCTATTTGAGAAGAGAAAAATAAATAAATAAATAAATAAAAACACTTTATTAGTTTATTTAAATCATCTCATTTCTCTATTTTTTAACACATTTTTTCGTGATAAGCCAATAAATTAAAGGAAAAAGTCACTTTTCAAAATAGGCCAAACTAGTCTAAAAATTAGAAAGTCATTAAAAAGGTCAAAAGGCGAACAAATATTGAAAAGTCAATTTTCTTTTCATTCACTTTACGTTTTACACATCATTTAATAAAAAAATAAAAAGTTATCAAAAATGTATTATTCCATCTATCCCAACATATTAATTCCTTATTTCATTTTTTATTATTTTAAAATATTAGAATCTTTTCAAAAATCAATGATTGAAATAACATAAATTTCTTATTTTGTCATTCTTTTAAATTCATTAACAATACAAAAAATATAATCATGACAATTGATACTCTTAAAAAAATGTATTACCAAAGAGTAGTTGTAGAAAGTGAAATAATTGTACTATTAAAAAAAATTAAATTCTCCAAAAGGGACTAATGTTTTGGGATGGTGGAAGTAGTTTTTTCCATCCCATATTTTAGCCAAACAATAAAAAAGTTACTAAAATAATCTGTTTCCAAACGGCCCCTAAATCTCAAGTTCTCTTTTTTAGAGTTATAAAGATAATAATAATAATAATAATAATAATAATAATAATATGGAAGAACATATTACTCCTACTTATATGTCCATTTATTTACATCACATATTTGTCCATTCTATTGGTCTAGTGTCATTTATTTGTTCACCTAATCTAATTTGTCCATATCACTACTACCATTAGTCGCCACTAGCCACCTCCAATAACTTTTTCAGTAATCAACTACCGACAATGAGCTAGAATAGAAAAATATATACTTTAAAAAAATAATTTATCATTCTTATCAAATAATTTTATTAATCATGTCATTACAACAAAAAAAATAAAACAATCATTCAAGCCAAATGCCATACACTCCTTAGAAAATAATTTCTCAACAATTTTTCCACATAAATATGGGAGATCTTATAAGTTATTGTTTGGTTTGATTTTTAAAACATGATTTTGATGAAAAAATTGTTTGGTTAACTAGTTTTTAACATACAATTCAAAACTCAATTTCCTCTATCCTCTCTCATTCTCTTATTATTATTATTATTATAAATAAATTAATCAATCATATTTTCTCTCTCTTCTCTCATTCTCTCACACTCAACACATCAATTAATTAAATTTTCTCTCACACCCATCTATTAAACTAAAAAAAAAAAAACTATAAATCATAAAAAAATTATTTTTAAAACTCATAATCAAACAAATTTTTAACTTTCAAAATTTTTTTCAACAACTTATCTTTCAAATAACAACTTGTTGGCTGCATATTTTGTACAAGCCAATTATAATTCGACGAGTGGCAAAGTAAGGGTCATATAGGGAGACCATTCAAGTCTTCGATCCTGATCGTACACGTGGCAGTTGATATTGGTTGTTATGAGATCTGAGTAGCAGTGGATCAATAAAGTGATGCAAGGTGATGTGGCATCAGCGGTTACTCTTATTTAAATTCAAATTTAGAAGGGAAGCTTAACTGCAAATGATGGCATAGTGGAGCTAATCTTGAGGCTACATAATCAGCGATCATGGGGGAGCAGTTCGACAGTTGGACATACAGTTCGACTGTCATCTTTGAGCAGTATAAATAGTAGAGAAGGCCCTGGAAAAAGCCCCCGGACTCAAATCTAAAAAACCAGTCTTATTCTACTTTACTTTTACATACCCTGTTCTTTACATTCCAGTACTTCAAATTCTGCACTGCATTTTCATTGATAGGAGTAGTTTCAAATAGATTGCCGCTTCGAATCATTGTAAGTTTTTCATTCTAGTGAAATGTTTCAGATTTTCTTTATTTGATTGGTATTCTGTTTAAATTCTCCTAAATCAAGCCACCAGTAAAAGTCCTCTTCATTGAGGTTGAGAGATCTAAAACACAGTCGTCTGATAATTGGTTGGCAATTAAATTTCTGTAAGGACTAAATTGATCCTTCCTGGCACGCTCGCAATCACAATAATAACCTTCGAAAGCCAAAAAGCCAACATATATTTTTGGCACGCCCGATGGGACTACATTTAAAATGGCTAAACGTAAGAGACAAGGAGAAAATGAACGCTTGGAAGAAGGCGTGGAATAAGAGGCAGAGATACCTAATCCAGAGGATAATGTGATAACACATCCTGTGAAAACTCCTATTTTATCGGAACCTATGGTCGAACAGACCAATACTTTAGAACAAATACCATTTGTTCGTAATATTGAACGAGACCAAGAAATTGAACCATCCACTGTCCCATATACTCAGCCAGTGAATCCATGGGGTGGCTTAATAGATGCAATGGGACAGCAATTAATGAACACAATGGAAAGGTGGGCAACATCCTTTTTGGATCGAATGAATAACTACCAACTAACAAACGCAAGACACATGGAGGAAATTTCGAATGTCCCTTAGCAAAGATTGGCTAGAGATAAACAGCCTATGCAAGTTAATGGACATTCTAATGGACAAACTAGTAATCAGAACCATGAAAGACCATCACCTCAGTCTTGGTACGAACCTGTTCCAAGGCCCGTTGTAGGTCAAAATGTCTCAGTACTTAACACTGAAGCCATGCAATTTGGTGGAACTGGCCCAGTACAAGGAAATGGCATAAGAATGGTTTCGAATCCCATGTTCGAAGCCATACCTGGCACAAGGGGGTTCACTAATCCCTTATTCGAATTTATACCCGGAGGGTTAGAAGGTTTTCCTACAAATGGAAGAGACACAACACCAGTTCCAACACCTTTCGCAAGTCCTTTCGTAGGACAAATTCAAAGGGGTTACCCACACCCCCAACAGTAACCTGCACCACAGGAACAACCAGTCCCAAATATACCACTTTATGGACCAAGAAGACCACAAGCACAAGTTTGTCCACCAAATCCTGTGTTTGTTCCTCCGGCGGTGATTCAACAGGCACAAAATATGGTCCCTAGGGACCAAATTGCTGACATCGTTAGGGAGATGTGTGGACCAATGGCTCGGGGGGTCCAGACTCCTGTATACAGAAAACCCTACCCAGAATGGATAGATAGGGTACATGAATACCCAAGAGGTTTCAGAATACCAGATTTCACCCTTTTTTATGGGAATGGAAACCAGTCAACAGTAGAGCATATCGCTAGATTCGCTGCTCAATGCGGTGAATTCACTAATAATGATTTTATGAAGCTAAGGCTGTTCCCAAATTCTCTAACTGGGGGAGCATTTGTATGGTACATTAACCTTATACCTGGCTCAATCCAAACTTGGTAACAAATGGAAGAGGCATTTCAGGCCCAATTTTTCCAATTGGAGCCAGAAGTTTCCATGGCAGACTTGGCAAGGTTGAGTCAAAGGCCTGAAGAAAAGGCTACTCAGTTTATTGCCAAATTTAAAAGGGCTCGAAATAAATGTAGAGTCATTTTGCCAGAGCCAGAATTCGTAAGATTGGCTCAAAATGGCTTAGAATTTAGGCTTCGAAAGAAGTTTGACTCAACAGAGTTCAGGGACTTAGTGGAACTGACATATAAAGTATCTAGATATGAAGCATTACTA